TTCGTTTAGGTTAGTTTTATATCTATGTCAGAATCCGTTATTTTTAAAATCTTTATTATTGCTTTTCTAGTTTTGTCTGTGTTTTGTTTGTTACAGTTTCTTAAGATTATGAGGCCGTCGTCCCTGTAGAGTCCTGTGTCATTTTTTTATCTATTATTTTGCTCAGTTCGTGTAGTAAGTAAATGCCTATGATTTCGCATGCCTCTGCACCGTCAAAGCTTCCCATTGTGTCAAATATCCCATCTTTCTTTATCCATGCTTCTTCATTGTGGAATAATAATGATTTACGGGAGTGCTTAATGATGTTGATTTCGCTTGGTTTTATTATTATTTGTTCCTGAGCTAAGTCGATGGCCTTATCTAGCATACGTTCTGTTATAGATGGGTAAAATTCTTTTATGTCTAATTGTAGGAATTGGCAATTTTGTTTGTTATTTATGTTGTGGAACCAGTCAATAGTTGTTTTCGTATTTTTCCACTGGTTTACTCCTAATTTCTTCCTAAGTTCAGAATTAATTTTTTCTAGTATTGTTTTACTTATTTTACCTAGTTCGCTTTTGGCTGGGTTTATGAGTCTACATGCAGGATTAGTTTTGAAATTTTCTTTATGGTCTTTTAGTGTGATAAAAAAAAGTGCCTTGCTAATACAATTTATTCGGTCATCTAGGTCTAATTTTTGGGCGATTGTTTTAGCTTCCTTATTGATATCGTGTTCTGTTGTTTGGGGTGCCTTTTTGTATGTTTTGGTTATGTTGTTCTTGAGTAATTTATTGTGTGTAGGAGGGCTTAGTTTGTATAAATTTCTCGTTTTGTCAGCAGCGATAAATACACTTGCTGAATTGTTTATTTTAGTTATATCTGCTTTTAGTTTTTTTTGGAATGCATCTTGTTTTTTATGGAATTTTATGTTTCTAACTAGGTCAGTTAAGTCTTTCTCGAAATCGTCTAATTCTTTTTGTTGTGGGGGGCATTTTTTTTGTTTTGAAGCCGTATTTTTCCTTCTTAAGTGTGTTATTGTGAAGGTCCTGATTTAAAAAGTGGACTTTCCATCTCATTCTTTTTAGGAAACTTTCTATTTTTTCAATTAATTTTAGTTTATATATAGTAGGGGATGGGATGGGTATGTTTTTTTTGGGGAGTAGTCGAGGTTAAATTTTTCCATGTCCATACTGTGTTATAAATGTAGCGAGAGTGCTCTACTGTTTACCAGGAGCTGAATATAAAAAATATAGTCTTAAGGTGTGCTATATTTATGGGATAAAGTGCTCAATATCAGAGATAGAGCGTGTGTAAATATAAAAAGTGAACATAAAGTCAACACTTAGAGGCGACAGTCTGTTTCATGCTATATGCAATCGTCAGGCCACGTGTGCTGTTATTTTTTTCTCGGCTATTTATATATATACGGGTTAGTGGTGCATTGTGGGTATTCTATTATGGCGGTTATTTTTTGCCGGAATCGCTTTGTTCATTTATTTGGGTCAAGTTATATTGCTCGTTTTTATTTATTTTTTTATTTTATTTTATTTTTTTTTTTTTTTAATTTCTTATTTTATTTATTTATTTATTTTTTAAAAATTTGTTTATTCATTTTTAACAGTTTTGTTTTGGTTTGAGAATTTAATTAAAATATTTGTTCAATTTTGGGGTTGTTTATATCACGTTCATTAACACTTGTTATTTGGTTTTTGAGAATTTTTAAAAAATTGAATTTTTTAAATTTGGGATTGTTTGCCTATTTATTTAAAAATAAATATGAATTTAGGTCAATTTATTTTTATATAAATATAAAAAAATTTATTACTTGGATGAATTTAGGTCAATTTATTTTTTATATAAAATAAAAAATAACATTACTTGGATAATTTAACAGACTGTCGCCCTAAGTTATTTTTATATAAAACACGCTAAAATAAAATTTATCCCATAAATATAGCACACCTTAAGACTATATTTCTTTATATATATATATATATATATATATATATATATATATATATATATATATATATATATATATTTATTTATTTATTTATTAAGGTAATGAAGGGTTTGGTAATCCGTGTGAATAATTCCAAAGAGGATATGATCCAGAGATCTCTGTGTAAAACCAGACCAAATTAAAATTATTTATATATATATATATATATATATATATATATTTACCCTATAAAGCTATGGTAATTCACAGATAATAAAGTTATTTGTAGACAACAATTATCGAATACCTTCTCAAAGAACAGAAAATTTTAAAATATGAAAAGTATCTTAAACTCAACTTTGATTTCATGCCAATAAAACATTTTGTGTTACATATCAAAGGTGCAATCGTTCGTGGAATTGGATAAAGTTCTTTCACAGACTGTATATTCTTTAGATCCACTAATTCTAGATTATCATTTATTGTAACATATGGCATCCAATACTTGTGAATGTGGGTAGCCATCTACAAATGTAAAATACGTAAGAGAACTGTCTAAGGAACAGAACTGACAAAGTTTGCAATAAGCAAGAATGTGTTAAAGAAAAGAACAATGAAACGTTAATATAAAGCAATATATTCAAAACAATATAACAGTAATAAAGCAACAGTAATATGGCAAAAAGTTCACAAAGTAAGAATTAGGGCTTGATCCGCAAAGACAATTTCGGACAAGCCAACGTAGCGTTCTGATTTTAAGACAAGACTGAACGGGATGAATCAGATCAACCCAAGAACCGGCCTATTTTATTTCAGAGGAAAAAATCCCAGCATGCATTTGTGAGCTTCTGCCAATAAAATGGGGAGGAGCAAGTGGTTTGCAAGAATTATGTCATGGGTATGTGTTATGGTAATTCACCCACGCATACATGGACTCTCCCAGCTATAAATAGGAGCCGGTACAGCATTTTGGGAGGGAAGATTCCAGCAGTCAGCTATGGCAGTTGGACCGAAAATTCTTGCTGTAACACTCTCGTTTGTATATGTTTGTATTACTGTTTCTGTTAATATATTTGTTTAACTCACTTTTCTGTCTTGTGTCTTTATTTCTGGCCCTAACAAGGCCAGAGGAGTGTTTTTGTAGGATCCCTGCCTATACGTGGTATATGTCGGATTGAATGGTGATGGATAGGTTCTTGTGCTGAATGACTAAATTGTATTGGATGAATGGATCGTGAATCTGATTAGATAGGTTTACAATGGTTAATGTCAACCATTCTCTCCCCATTTCTCCCTCGGCTTTATGTCAAAATTGTTTATGAAAATATAAGCAAAAAGACAACGGTTTCACATGAATTCAAGAAATAAATTTTGTTCTTCATTCAAATACATGTCATAAAGCCGTCCATTTTGAAAATAAAAGAGAAGCCACAGCGATCCAAAAACTGATTCCTATATTTTCACACTTAGTGTTCGACAAACCGGTTCAGGTATCTAAGCCTCATAATAAAAGTCTGGTTCCATATTTTAGAGTTTTTAAAATGTGGACAATATGCTTAGATTGTCGCGTTTAAGTCTGTACATGTTGAAAGGGTTTGACCTATCTGACCGCAGAAGCTTAACAGCTAAGCCAAGTCAAGCCAAATACAGTCCCAATTAATCCATGTTAAACCGATTATTCACGCCAATTTTTTGTTTAATTTCTATTAATAGTAAGTGACTTAAATTGATAAAATTCTTAAATGAAATATATTCATATTTCATTCTTTTTCCTTCCATGTCACATTTCTGATTCTGTTGTGGATAACGACATTGCAGCACGGACATCATAAATAGAACGGATTTGTTTATAATGTAATTCAATTTGAATTAATACATTCTTATATATATATATATATATATATATATATATATATATATATATGAATGTATAAATGTATATATAGGCGCACAAGAATTAATATTGTAGTTCAGAATAAATATACATTAAAGGAAATTAATACAGGAGTAAAAATAAATAAACTAAACAGCCCGTACGCCATTTTTTCAATTATTTCATAGACAGACTTCCTACTTTCAGCTCACGATGAAGATTTTCCTTACTGTTTCCTTCCTTTCTTTCGTACTTTCATTCTTTCTTTCTTACTTTTTATCTATCTATCTATCTATCTATCTATCTATATATATATATATATATATATCTTCACATCTTCATATCTATCTATCTATCTATCTATCTATCTATCTATCTATATCTATCTATCTATCTATCTATCTATCTATCTATCTATCTATCTTCACATCTTCCTATCTATCTATCTATCTATCTATCTATCTATCTATCTATCTATCTATCTAACTAACTAACTAGCTAATATATTAGCTATCCCAGTCTGGCCGTATCTACCTATCTATTGGAAGAATTATCTGAAATATAAGTAAGCAAAAATTAAACTGGCAAACTTTGATTATACACACACACGCACACACACATACACACACTCAAAATAATGTCTCATAAAATCCATTAAAAATCTATTATATATATATATATATATATATATATATATATATATATATATATATTTATATATATATATATATATATATATATATATATATATATATATATATATATATATGTATGTATATACATGCATGTATGTATATGAAAGCACAACAGTTGAAAAGGTATTTATTAATCCAATGTTCATTTCTTGAATTTCTAAGTAAGCACTTAATTCTATTATATACTTTAATCGAAATGGTTTTTACGAAAGCACCTCACATCGATGGCTATTTTGATTTTCAATCGATGATTTTAACCATTTGTTTATCAATTTTAAGCAGAACATAATCGGAAAAAAGCGCCCCCCAAAAAAAAAAAAAAAGAAACGAGAACATTAAATTAAAAAAAATAAAATTTTACTAAGAATTACTGCAGAATTTCATGGCTTTCGGTGACGGATATCATTTTCAATGATTCTCTCTCTCTCTCTCTCTCTCTCTCTCTCTCTCTATATATATATATATATATATATATATATATATATATATATATATAGGGCTATGTTTCCATATGAAATTATCTATGTCTATCTTTGATAAGCATTCGTAGTTGTCAATAAATAAATAAATATATCTGCCGAGATATCTGCTTATACCTTTATCTTTAACCACTGTCTGTAACGGTATATCTATCTATCTATCTATCTATCTATCTATCTATCTATCTATCTATCTATCTATCTATCGCAGTCTTTATTATCTATCTATCTATCTATCTATCTATCTATCTATCTATCTATCTCAGCTTCTTCATGTCTATTTATCTAAATCTGTTTCCATCTGTCAGTTTCCATCTATTTCAGTCTGCTTCCTTCTATCTATCTATCTATCTATCTATCTATCTATCTATCTATCTATCTATCTATCTATCTCAATTTGCTTCCGGCTATTTATCTATCTGTTTCAGTCTTTTTTTAATATCATATTTATCTATCTCAGACTCTTTATATCTCTCTGTATATATTTATCTCTCTCGATATATTTATTTCTCTATAAAGATAGCTAGCTAGCTAGATAGATAGATAGACAGATATCAGCCTGTTCATCTCTCTCTCTCTATTTATCTATCGCAGTCTCTATCTATCTATCTATCTATCTATCTATCTATCTATCTATCTATCTATCTATCTATCTATCTATCTATCTATCACAGCCTCTTCATATCTATCTATCTATATAACTTTGTTGACAATGATTAATTAAAAAATGAATACCTGTGAATACTTGTGCACAAAGAATAGAAAAAGCACAGACTGGCATCTTACCCACAAAAACAGTGTCAAAACGACTGTTTTTCCCTTGGCACTACTATTAATTCAACTACCTTCACTCTTCGGTAATAAATATTTATTAGAATTTTAATAAAACAGAAACATATGAAAGTAAATTTACACAGTTTCATTGTTCTTGAGAAGTAACAACACAAATGACAAACATATTTTATTTTTATTAGATTGTTTATTTACACTATTTATTTATTCTATTCTTCATCGAATTGCTTGGCAAAACAACGGTTAATTGGCTAACGATTTGATCTTTATAAAATTCTAAATAATATGGATTTCCTTATATGTATTAGGTTGGTGCAAAAATAATGACGTAATAATGTCGTTTTTTGACGTATTTTTTAACGTCAAAAACGACATTATTACGTCATTATTTTTGCACCAACCTAATAGTTCATATATTACAATAATTTAGTAAATGTTTACAAATGAAAAAATGTTTTCATATTTAGTCCGTTATACGTTGATAAATGATAGATATTACATTGCATTAGTGTTAATTGTAACATAATGCTTTAAATCTGAAATTATTCTTGTAAATAAACAATATCATAGTGTTTAAAATTTTTGTTTTAAATCTTCAAGAAATGTGTATGAATTGACTTTCATCATATGTTAAGGCTTTATTACAAGTTTAATCATCGCTGTATAAAACAATAAACATTTCTGAGAAGTAAAGCAAGTTAAAATAATAGTAGTGGTATCAACGGAAAAAGCTTTGATTTGACACTTACTTTTCTGGATGTTTAGAGTTGCCGAAAAAATGTTAAATTGAATGTAAAATGCATAAATTTCATATACAAAATAGTTATAGAAAGTTTCAGGCCTCTGCTGATCAACAAATATGGTCTGAAGATCTCCTGAGTCGTGAAATTCATAGTTTACATGAAGTGCTGATTTGTATGTCCACACTATCTATCTATCTATCTATCTATCTATCTATCTATCTATCTATCTATCTATGTCTGGTTGTATCTATTTATCTCTCACTGTCTCCGTAGGTGCATATCTATCTATCTATCTATCTATCTATCTATCTATCTATCTATCTATCTATCTATTTCAGTATCTTCACACACACACACAAAAAGCATATATATATATATATATATATATATATATATATATATATATATATATATATATATATGTATATATAAAATGCAAAACCAGAAATTGACACACATGAAACAACCCGGACCATGAGCTACTTTTAGAAAAAAAATCAAATACAAAAAGCTTTATTCAAAATTGGCTACCAAATACAAACATAAAAAGGGGTTTTATAAGTGTATATATAATATATATAATGTACATATATAGATTTGTTTACATTTTTAAATTTCTATGTAATCACGTGAAACTTAGTGCAAGTTTACGGATGACCAGCTGGAATTTCTTCGTATTAATTGAACTTCTAAGTACATATATATATATATATATATATATATATATATATATATATATATATATATATATATATATATATATATGCCAGTGCGTATTTTTGCGCATGTGTGGGTTTCAGGTCAACATCGAACCAGTCAACTAAAACTAGCGGAGCCGTGACAGAAAGGTCACCACACTTCCGCCCACATTCGCGCGCACACGAGAAGAATGTCGTCGAGATTTCAGATAAAACACCCAATATACAGACATAAAAACAAATAAATAAATTCAAATTGTAGAGACATAGGAGCACCTGTTAACCTGCTGGGCATAAAGTTTTTAAGAATAGGGTCCATATCTTCCTGTTTTCTTTGTCGCGTTTGTCTTTCCGAGAAAAAATTATCGTGTCCAGGTGAACATAAAATACATGAGGAACTATCAAAAACATTTTGTTTTCAAGGGCATTTTCTTTTCATTATAATTGTCCTCAAACTATTCCTCTCTGCTCGAACGGACAGAAACACGCAGACATCCTCCCCACATCACAAGTACTTGTATATACAAGTAGGTATTGA